CAGAACTTTTGTTAGAAAAAAGAGATGGGTAACTCATAATTGTAAGAAATGAGTTACACTATATATAGCATTATAAAACACTATAAAACAATAAGATCATTATAGGAAGATAATTGGCATACAGTGGGGCGGCTTAGAGTAAGTGTGTCGTGACTTAAAAACACGAACCTATTGGTTAAATATCGATATATACGATCATAAAAACATGTCATTTTCAATTTCTTTTAAAACATATATAAAAAATATCTTAAAATATAGAATTCGGGAGTTTGGATCTATAGTATTTTGTTTAAAAAATTGATGTGGGGTGTTATTGGGTTTATTTTATAGCATAAATATGGAAGTGGTAGTATTGGACTGAGGGTAGTAGTTCTAAACCGCTTATAACTCATTTATTTTGAAACACATTCTAGATAAACTATATATTACAGTGATTGCACTCGAACCAGAATGGATTACTGAGAACAGAACGTTAGCAAATTCTAGGTGCATAATCATAAAGTGTATTCGTATTGCCGTATGTCCGATATGGAATGTCCCCATGACATTGTGCTTTGTATATCGATTATTTGTTCGTGATCAAGCTTATGCTAATTATACTTATTAAAAAATGGAAAATGAAAGGGACACATTTTTATAATCCCTATCCAGTACAGATGATAATAGTTGGCAGTGGTCGATATGGTCATAATTGTTCAGGAAAAACAAGAAGGGGAGGAAGAAGGATTTAGCTTATTCAACCATTAGTGTAGGGGAGCTCCCACTACACCAGCATCACCCCGACCCCCCAACGAACACACACACTTTCCCAGGCCGCCCCCTTTCCCACTCCAGACTTACCTTCCATCTCCTGTAGGGCCCTCTTCCTTGTCTCCGCAGCCAGGGGGCGGGGCTAAGAGGAGAGGGTCCCCACAACAGAATGAGCTGCCCGGCGGTGCCTGCAGCACATTCTGCGGGACCAGTGACAGCCTCTCCATCCCTCCCGCACAGCCGCCCGTAGATGCTGCGGGCGGCTGTGCGGGAGGGAAGGAGCGGCACTATCTCGGGGGGGGGGCTCTTCTTCCTCGCTGGCCCCCCCAAGTGGCTGAATGCCATGGCTCGGTTGCAATTGCGACCCTGGTAGTTCCGCCAGTGGGTCGGGGTGCAACTGCTAATCCCAACATAGCCCCACACACTGGCAATGAGGAGTCAGCAGAAATATTGAATAACACAATCGCTCAAAAGAAGATAATATATTATTATATTTCCTGCTGTCTGTGTCACCAAACACTGCCCCAATCATGAGAAATGATACCCTGAAGTCTTCTGGGAAACCAACACTTCATGTAGTGTTTATCATCTCTTGCAGCTAATACTATTTCCTCCCTCTGACCTCCATGATACTGTAGTATTCTCCACCCTCCTTTCTTTTTAAGCCCCCATCCAGACCTCTGTGATGACAGAGGTCTGAATGGGACTTGGTTAGGGCTGGAATTGGATCTGGGGGTCTCAGCTGCCATTGTGTTCTGCGGGGTCCCTTGTGCATCTCTCTGCCTTCAGGGAGGTTGGGCTTCCTCCTGACAAACCTTCACCCAATTTTATCTTTTGCTACATCCCAGATAGCAAGGATAACTTGCTACAAACTTGTGGCGTGGTGAAATTGTAATTTTGTTTACTTGCTGCACATATTCCTGGCAAGTTGTAGACTTGCAGAACACTTGCAGCACAAATTCTAGTTGACACTTTTTGAACTTGTAGCAAATTTGCTTGTCAAGTCTACAGCAAGAGTCCTGCAGGTCTTAGCAAGAGGTCTGCAAGCTCGCTGGTCTGGAGACTTGCAATGCAGACTTGCTGTAATAGTGCAACAAAATTGTGAAGCTTGGCAAGTCTGTAATAGTTTAGTAAGTCATTTTCCAACTTGCAGCACAATTTCTTGCTATCTGGGATGTGATCCAAGATGGAGACTCTCATAGTTTAGAGTTAGGACCGCACTATATAGAGGTGCCTTGACGAGGCTGTGCGACTTTCACATTTTCTGCACAAGAAATGTATTTAAAACCTCTGTTTTTAACCTTAGCGGTGAGACAAGTTTTTTACATGCTGGCTGGTGAGTGTGCTGGGAAACTTTTTGCTGTTGTACTGTATAAAGCCTTCCATGTGCATCTTGCTTAGAGCTGGTAACAAATTGATGAGTGTGTTTGCCATTTGTTTTGCTTCCCAGCATACCTGATCGGTTTGTTTGACATTCAGCAGCAGGCTGGGGTGCTGTCATTTTTGATGAGAGTATGGTGAAAGATCATGGTTGAAGTGGCCATTAGGTGCTAAACTATTAAGTTTAAAAATCAAGAACATTCTCTTTGGCAGTTTTTTGTCTCGAAAGTCTGAATCTCTCATGGTTGTGATTGCCTCAATTCTAAAGACTCCTACATTTTCTATACTTGCATTATGATGTGATAAAAAATGTTTAGGGACAGAGTGTTTATCATTCTTATTAATTATCTTCCGTTTATGTTTGCCGAACCTCATCCTAAGAGTTCCTCCCCACATATATTTTACCACAGGGGCACAATAACGCATAAATCACATACTCAGTGGCACAATCTATAAATTGTTGAATAGGAAAAATATTTTCCTTAATGGGTATTTCTTTTTTCCTATGCCACATGTGCCGTCAGGCTCGGCATTTATGCACACTGCATTTAAAATGGACTATTTGACCAAAAATTAATTTCCCCACTTTCTCATGTGAATATTTATTCACCTTTCTGGGGGCCAGTATATTTTTTAGTATTTTTTGTCTCTTAAACAATTACTTTCGGATATGTCAGTAGAGTATTTTTCAGGACGGGATCTTCCATCAAAATTCTCCAATGTTTTTTTTATAGTTTTGGAGATCCGAAAGGCAGCCTTATTGAATTAGGTACAAAAGGATAATTTGTATGAATCATCACCACTATTTAGCCTCACACTTTTTGCATGATCAACTTCATGTTTTTTTAAAGTACTTTATATCCATCTAACATCAAATCCTTTATCTATAAACTTTTGTTTAAGTATGGATCCCTGTTATTGATAATCTTCTAACTTAGAACAAGTGTTTCTAAGGCGTCTAAATTCACCTTCTGGAATGTTATTAATCCACCTAGGGTGGTATGCACTAGCTGCATGTTCATAGGAATTACCCACTGTAGGTTTGAAATGGGTTTTAGATGTAATTAAACCCATTTCATCATGGCCTAATTCTAGGTCCACAGTAAGGAATGTATAAACAAGTCAATTATATGTATAAATTTGATAGAATAAGGAATATGGCTACAATATTCTACAAATTCTAGTAGTTTGTCCCTACTGCCATCCCATATTTGAACTATATCATCAACATATCTAGCGAAGAGGACCAGGTTTGCCCCAAATAGATTATTGGACCAAATATAATTTGACTCCCAAAATCCCATAAAGAGATTGGCATAACTCGGGGCAAACTTGTCCTCCATAGCTGTGCCCTTAGTCTGGATGAAATATTCATCCAAAAAGGAGAAATAATCGTGAATAATTGTAAATAATGCCTGCTGTGAATTGATGGAGACTGGGGATCCTCATCATTCAAAGATCTCTCTGAAAGGAATATGATGTCCCACTGTGAAGTGCAGAAGCCGGGGGTAAGGTAAGTATACTGTATTTACTAACCATTTTCCCAAGTTTTTTTTCTGCTGAATCACAGTTGTGTTTTCTATTTCTAATAAAAGTGAGAGGTGATTGCAGTCAATACAGAGGCTTCCTCAAAGAGTACTAAAGCCACATTCATGATATTAAATATTATAAAAGAGGAAAAATCAGTAATGTATCCAGGTCTGTTGCGCATGTACTTAGTCCAGTTTTTCGCACCATAGGAAAATGGGCACTTGCGCGCACCGGGACATATGCTCACTAATCTGGTGCACAGGAAGTGATGCAATGCCTCTGAATTGATCTTCTTATTTAAAGCAAGCACATCCTGGGCTCAGCTGCTGGATTGTCTTTCAGCTGTTCCCTGTGATCCCGTTTGCTGCTTCTGAACCTTGACCCGGATTGCACCTGACTGCTCTTGATTGCTGCCTGCCTGTTGACCTTGGAATTGTTACTGGACTTGGCCTCTGCCTCATCCCTTGTACTTCGCTGCCTGGCTGGTGTGACCCCTGGCTTGCCTGACCTCGATTCTGCCTTTTGCTCTGGTATCCTGCTGCCCATCTGCTGCTTTTTAACAGCAGGCATGGAAATTGGTGATATGTGAGCTGATTGCAAAACTACTTCTGCCAGATATGAACATGCCATGTATTTGGCAAAAAAATTAGGCAAATGCATGTGTTGTGTTGTGCATTTATATTGAATTCATCATGTTTTGCACTCGGTTCTGAAGAAGATGGTTTAGCCATTAAAACGCAAAAACATAGCCATATCTATTGCATACTGTGATACTCTTAAATCCAATCGGTTGTATGGTGCTGGCAGGCACTTGGATCTTGATGAATGCATGTTATATATGCTTTACAAAGATGGATTTTTGTGAGTATCACTCTTTCTTTTACAACAATCCATAGAATAAATGTTACTACATGTTTTTTTGTTTTCTCCTTGGCATGTATGTTGAGAAAAGTGTGCTTATCCCAATACTGGTATCAACATCTCAGGAATAACTACATCTATGAATTTGAAACTATCTGGAGGTGTTATGTAGTGCCAAACAGGGGCCTACATATAGAGGCTTTGTATTATATTGTGGAAACTGATCTGTATTTATTATTTATATATTGTATATGGTTACATATTACTAATAAAAAATGTTTTTATGATATAGAGAATTAATATATAGGAAGATATGAGGATTCAGCACATTAAATGTCTTGTGTTGTTAAACATGTTATTGTTCTTTATTCTCAAGAAAGAATTAAACATCAGAACTACAAAAAACAAGGATCCTAATGCAAAAACCATTTCTAGTAATCATAAATTATATTTTGATTTCAAGAGGTCATCATAAATAATTATCCTCTGTTTTCAAGCAAACCAGATTTTGTATTCAGCTCACGTCTGAACAGAATGATGTAACATTTTGGGAAAAATATACAGCCAAGAAGTCCAGTACTTGAGGCCATTATAGCAAAAATCTCCACAGCCACCATGTATTTCCCTCTGGTGCTCAGATAGGCCGGGATCATGGCAATCCAGACACTGCAGAACACCAGCATGCTGAAGGTGATGTACTTGGCCTCATTAAAACTGTCCGGTAATGTCCTGGCTAAAAAAGCTATAATGAAGCTCACAGCTGCCAGAAGTCCCATATATCCCAGGACAGAGTAGAAGCCGATAACTGAACCCTCATTACACTGAATGATGATCTTTCCCTGATAAGAGTGAGTGTCTCGATCCTGGAAGGGAGGAGAAATAGACAACCAAGTGACACAGATTATAACTTGCACCATTGATAACACAGACATGATAGAATTCGGCAATTTGATTCCCATCCATTTCCTCCAGGAACTCCCAGGTTTGGTGGCTTTAAAAGCAATACACACCATGATACTTTTGGCAAGAAGAGAAGAGACGGCAACTGAGAAGATGACACCAAAAGAGGTTACACGCAGCATGCAGGTTACATCTACTGGATGGCCGAGGAACAAGAAGACACAGAGGAAGCTCAGCATGATGGAGACCAGGAGAAGATAGCTCAGGTTCCGGTTATTAGCTTTAACAATGGGTGTGTCCTGGTAATGTATAAACATCCCCAATATTACACCAGTCAGAAGGCAACAGAGGATGGAGACAGCTGAAAATACTGCAACAATTGTATCATCAGTGTAGGAGAGAAATTCCATCAATTTTGGAACACACCGATCCTTCTTCTCATTTGGCCATTCTTCATCAGAACATTTCATGCAGTTTTCACTGTCTGCAGGAAGAAAAATACCATCACAATGAGCATCTGTGTCATAGAGTCTGAGAACAATGTCTTGTGTTGCCTCACAGTCAGCAATTGGATTTCCATCAGTGCATTGTGGGAGAGTAAAATAAAATATAACACATTACCTACATATATAATATATAAATGTTATTATTAAAATGTATTACAAATAGATATTCAGTATATAGCTGCTGCAGACAGACAGACAGATAGATAGATAGATAGATAGATAGATAGATAGATAGATAGATAGATAGATAGATAGATAGATTTGGTAAATTGATGAGGAACAATATGTGCTCATGAGGTTCATTTAGTTACAAAGAAAAAATACAGATGAAATAAAATACAGTGAAGATTAGGAAAAGAGATTCTCATGGCCCATCGACGTTTGGCATTTGATTGCCATTGCCCAGCATCTTCACAGGGACACAAGCTTATAAGACCGATGTCACACAAGACCTCCCTAAAACAACTGTCTCACTGTACAATATTAGGAGACCAAATGTCTGCACAGCAAATCCTTCAAGGGCATTCTTTCTTCACATTCTGAGGACATTATTCCAATAACATATTGAAGTGAAAGGACTTTTGGCAGGAGAACCTGTATTCTCCAACATTACACATAGCATTATACATTGTCATATAATAGTTATTTTTCATATAGTTTATTTTTTATACGCCATTGAAAGCATTTTATATGATTATCAGAGTTTCCCTGCTCACACCTCCTGTGTTATCTCAAGAAGTTCAATTAGCCCTCCTGGTTCTTATGTTTGAATTTCATAATGAATTGTATCTATGATGTGGAGAATAGGATAGGGAGTAGGTTTGATAAGCAATAGAGACATTGGCAGGACTGATACGGGATCTGAGAGCATTTCTATGCAGATCAGCAGGTATTTTTCTATACTTTCAGGGTCTTTAACCCTTTCGCTGCCAAGGAAACAGCAAATATAGTGTGTTCTTTAGACATGTGCACTGCCAAAAAATTTGTTTAGTTTCGTTTCGTTTTAATTCGTATTTGTGTTATTTCGTTTTTCGGGATTCGAATGTGAAAGTCAATTCGTATTCGGAATTCGTATTCGGACGAAATTCGGTAGTGGTAGTTCGTTCGAACGTTTGTTTCATTTTCGTTTCTTATTCGTTTCGTTAATTAGTTCGTTTGCAGCAAAGAGACATTTGAGGGGGAAAATTTTTTTTCTCCTTCTCTAATGTCACTTTGCTCCAACGAACGAAACGAATAAGAAACAAATACGAAACAAACGTTCAAACGAAGTACCGCTACCGAATTTCGGAAACGGAAATTCGGATTCGTTTGCATTCGTTATATCTGTAATTCGGAATTCGGATACATCCGAATGTCTGAAAATTCGTCCGAATTTCGGTTCGGAACGAAACGAATCGCACATGTCTATTATCTATTAATCTTTGACCCTGTGTTCAGAAGTCTATATTAAAGTAAGGAATGACTGTAGGTTTGGCTCATCCTCCAGCTGATGCAGCCACAGGTAATTTATTTAGTAGTGGAATCTCTATTGCCGCTAAATGATAACTTTCCAGACATTGAGGATGAGGCCCTTCTCCTCATTAACATGGAGACAAAGTGCTTTACCAAGGAGGAGCTGCTTTGCCCTCTTTATAAGCGGTGCCCCAGTTTGCCACCCCCCTCCACTTGAAGGAATAAGAGCATAGTACCCCTAATGTACATCCAATCTGAAGCACATCTTCCAGTGATGACAATTCAACATGAATCATGATGAGTGATGACCAATTACCTATAGACAGAATGGCCCACTGCCATGACATTCCTTTTCTGCAGCTACTCCCTCTACCCAGATACCACCCAGATAGCACTTTACACAAAGGTTTCTGTGGTGCTAACTGAACCCTTATGAGGTAATGTACATACTTTTTCCTATTCTCTGTTAGTACATTTGTAGCACAAGGCAGATTCCAGGAAAGTGCAGAAGTGAGCTGATTCTTTGTATTAGGGATAAGCAGGAGGTATAGCGGAATTGTGTGTCATTGTCACAATAATCAGATCCCTGAAGAGGTTGATTTTCTGTTTATTATAGACTGTAAAGTCCGAAAGTATTTATACAAAGGCATGTAATTGTAATGAATAACAGACAAAACACAAACAAACAATGCAAAGTCTACCAGGAATGTTGGATATTTCTCCTTCTGGACATGGGATACAGTCATAGCAACATTCATGAATTGATGATCCAAACTTCTTTCTGCTTCCAGGTAAACAGGGATCTGAGCACCGAGATACCGGAACCTGAAAATCAGATATTATTACTATTAACATTATCATTTTTTTGTAAAGGTCTATCATATCCAATAGAATGAGGTTCAGGTTCATCAATATCATGGGTTCGATTAGGTACCGAAAAACTTATGTGCAGATTAACCCAGGACATTTTTTTAAACCTTAATGCACTGAGTGGCCTTTGAACTGTGACCATCAGTCTTTAGCTGGCCATACACTAATAGATTTATTTCCGGTGGGCATAACGAAAAACTAGAAAAATTCTTCAACCATGCAAAACAATGAGGATGATGAATCTACATCTGTGGCTATTGTATTCTGGCGATCAGCAGCCATCATTGTTCCAATACATGAATAGTATCTATAGCTGTCTGGCTGTGGACACTACCTGGCTCCTTCAACAAAAGCTGATTAATCAAAGTGAGCCTGCAAGGCCACCCACTACAGCAAATCCTGTGAATCTGCCTAAGATCTAACAGTGTATGACTGACTTTAGAAGGACCAATAAGAGGACCTCAGAATAAGCCAGCCTCCTAAATATAAAAGGGGTTAGAGAACAGTCACTGTATTGGATTCTGTTGTAGGGAAAGGATAGGAGAAGCTAACAAACTACACAGGTAGAGATGAACTGTAGTGAGCTGTACATTCATTCTGATAACTCTTTAAACACTCAACCCCTTTGGTGTCTTTTTTTTCATTTTAGGGGAGTTTTTTGTTTTTTATTTTTTATTACAGATCTACAATGTTTTGTATTTTGTGGTTATTTTTAGATCAGTGGTTACTTATAGCTACTGTCCAATCACAGCAAAGTTTCTAATTTTTTTTGCTGCAAGGCTTCCCTAAAAATGAGGGGGGATGGTGGTTTCAGTGGTGGTATATTGTTCTAATTTATTTAACCAGCCACTATAGCAAATCCTGTGAATCTGCCTAAGATCTAACAGTGTATGACTGACTTTAGAAGGACCAATAAGAGGACCTCAGAATAAGCCAGCCCCCTAAATATAAAAGAGGTTAGCGAACAGCCACTGTATTGGATTCTGTTGTAGGGAAAGGATAAGAGAAGCTAACAAACTACACAGGTAGAGATGAATTGTAGTGAACTGTACATTCATTCTGAAAACTATTTAAACACTCAACCCCTTTGGTGTCTTTTTGTTTCATTTCAGGGGAGTTTTTGTTTTTATTTTTATTACAGATCTACAATGTTTTGTATTTTGCGGTTATTTTAAGATCAGTGGTTACTTGTAGCTACTCACCAATCAAAAGCAAAGCTTTTGAATATTTTTGCTGCAAGGCTTCCCTAAAAATGAGGGGGGTGGTTTAAGTGGTGGTATATTGTGTTCTAAATTATTTTAGGGGTTTTATGATTTTATGCTGGTAGAGCTGTTTATTATTGGCGAACTGCTTTTTATTTTGCTTCAAAGGCTTCCCATAAATAAAGTGTGCTTTTGTTTTAGGGGAATTATTTTGGTGTTTTCATTTCAATTTTGTGTGGTTTTTTGTATGTTGAAAGGGGTGTATTTTAGGACAAAATGCAACTTTTTTGCTACAAAGTTTACCTTCAAGAAATAGGCTTTATTTCAGAGGTGAAATTTTGAGGTTTTCATTTCTTATTTTATTATTTGGGGTGCTCAAAGCACAGCACTTACTTGTTATTGACCATATCTTTTTGGAGTTGCCTTTGGTATAAGAACAAAAACTTAAGTGCATGAACAGTGTGCACCTTAACCAACCGACATCATATCACTCACATTCACCACACCCACTGTCTCCATAGAAAAAAAATATATATATTTTTTTAAAGGCATATACCAGTTAGGCCTATTATCCCTGATTAACACTGCCCTGCTGTTGACCAATTTAACTGTATCCTCTGAATTACAGTATATTCTAATGCATTTTGGCCTAGTCTTATGATTTAAAATTGCCTTCTGGCCAATTTCACATTGCTGTGTCCTCTGTGGTCTCTTCATCCTTGTAGTAATACTCCTCCCTGTACTCTTTTTCTCTGTTATATTTTGATCTATTCTCCATCAGTATAAATCTTCTGTTGATGGCCAGTTTTACACTCTATCATCATTTATGGTCTGTTAATTATGTGTTATTTATATATTATTTATTCAGTTTTCAAAATAGGTAGAGCATGTGCAGATACACACATCAGTGGTCATAGCATTTTCAGGTGTTAAAATCACTGCATGTTATCAGTCACACTATGATGTATACAATGCACAAACTAAGGTAAGAAAAGGATAAGAAGTACGAGGAAAGAGATACAGGAGATAGAAATAAGACAATATCATAATACAGTTATATATCTAACCTATTGCCATAGTGCAAATCAAGATGCAAATGACATAAGATCCAAGTATGAACCTAAGGTAGTGGACACCTGTGGTGTTGAGCAGACCGATGGTCTGGGAGGGGAGGGTGGATGTGATGGGATTATATTCTGATTTCATCACTTGCTGTATAAAAGTTTGTGCAGTTGCAGAGTTTGTTTACCCTACACTCGAGCCTTGGCTAGTGACTGGGGAAACTGGGAGCTAAGGATCTTCAGGTTGCGATATCTCCTCAGCAAGGAAGAAGACAGTGGCGGACATACTCATCCTGAGTACGTGGGTCCGTCACAACAGCCACTATAGCAAATCCTGTGAATCTGCCTAAGATCTAACAGTGTATGACTGACTTTAGAAGGACCAATAAGAGGACCTCAGAATAAGCCAGCCCCCTAAATATAAAAGAGGTTAGCGAACAGCCACTGTATTGGATTCTGTTGTAGGGAAAGGATAAGAGAAGCTAACAATGGGTCCGTCACAACAGCCACTATAGCAAATCCTGTGAATCTGCCTAAGATCTAACAGTGTATGACTGACTTTAGAAGGACCAATAAGAGGACCTCAGAATAAGCCAGCCCCCTAAATATAAAAGAGGTTAGCGAACAGCCACTGTATTGGATTCTGTTGTAGGGAAAGGATAAGAGAAGCTAACAAACTACACAGGTAGAGATGAATTGTAGTGAACTGTACATTCATTCTGAAAACTATTTAAACACTCAACCCCTTTGGTGTCTTTTTGTTTCATTTCAGGGGAGTTTTTGTTTTTATTTTTATTACAGATCTACAATGTTTTGTATTTTGCGGTTATTTTAAGATCAGTGGTTACTTGTAGCTACTCACCAATCAAAAGCAAAGCTTTTGAATATTTTTGCTGCAAGGCTTCCCTAAAAATGAGGGGGGTGGTTTAAGTGGTGGTATATTGTGTTCTAAATTATTTTAGGGGTTTTATGATTTTATGCTGGTAGAGCTGTTTATTATTGGCGAACTGCTTTTTATTTTGCTTCAAAGGCTTCCCATAAATAAAGTGTGCTTTTGTTTTAGGGGAATTATTTTGGTGTTTTCATTTCAATTTTGTGTGGTTTTTTGTATGTTGAAAGGGGTGTATTTTAGGACAAAATGCAACTTTTTTGCTACAAAGTTTACCTTCAAGAAATAGGCTTTATTTCAGAGGTGAAATTTTGAGGTTTTCATTTCTTATTTTATTATTTGGGGTGCTCAAAGCACAGCACTTACTTGTTATTGACCATATCTTTTTGGAGTTGCCTTTGGTATAAGAACAAAAACTTAAGTGCATGAACAGTGTGCACCTTAACCAACCGACATCATATCACTCACATTCACCACACCCACTGTCTCCATAGAAAAAAAATATATATATTTTTTTAAAGGCATATACCAGTTAGGCCTATTATCCCTGATTAACACTGCCCTGCTGTTGACCAATTTAACTGTATCCTCTGAATTACAGTATATTCTAATGCATTTTGGCCTAGTCTTATGATTTAAAATTGCCTTCTGGCCAATTTCACATTGCTGTGTCCTCTGTGGTCTCTTCATCCTTGTAGTAATACTCCTCCCTGTACTCTTTTTCTCTGTTATATTTTGATCTATTCTCCATCAGTATAAATCTTCTGTTGATGGCCAGTTTTACACTCTATCATCATTTATGGTCTGTTAATTATGTGTTATTTATATATTATTTATTCAGTTTTCAAAATAGGTAGAGCATGTGCAGATACACACATCAGTGGTCATAGCATTTTCAGGTGTTAAAATCACTGCATGTTATCAGTCACACTATGATGTATACAATGCACAAACTAAGGTAAGAAAAGGATAAGAAGTACGAGGAAAGAGATACAGGAGATAGAAATAAGACAATATCATAATACAGTTATATATCTAACCTATTGCCATAGTGCAAATCAAGATGCAAATGACATAAGATCCAAGTATGAACCTAAGGTCTTACAACTGACCCAGCAGGCCTATGTTTTACAGAAAAGATTTCAAGTATCTCTAGATTCATGAGTCAAATCTTCCATTTAAATGGACCTGATCTATTTCCTAAAACTATAATTTGATAAAAGGAACTTTCAATTGTTTCCAGAATAATAAAATATTTACTGCCTAGACTAAATGATGTTCAGTGGGTTACATGACATTGGCCTGCTGGTTTTGTTGTACAATTATACAGAATGACCCATGGATCAAAAGTCACTGGAAGTAAAATATAATGGTCCAAAGAGTCTGATTCACTGGCCAAATCCACCATATACTGTATGAATGTAAGTACCTACATTCACACAGCCTCTCCAACATTGAGGAGACATCTCTGGAAAAATTGAATGTACAGGTGAAACTCGAATAATTAGAATATCGTGCAAAGTTTATTTATTTCACTAATGCAACTCAAAAGGTGAAACTAATATATGAGAGAGACTCATTACATGCAAAGCAAGATAATTCAAGTCGTGATTTGTCATAATTGTGATGATTATGGCTTACAGCTCATGAAAACCCCAAGAACCCCAAATCCACAACCTCAAAAAAGTAGAATATTACATGCAATCAATAAAACAAGGATTGTACATAGAACAATATCGGACCTCTGAAAAGTACAAGCATGCATATGTACTCAGTACTTGGTTTGGGCCCATTTTGCAGAAC